ATGAAGGAATGCAATGCCGAGTGTTGAAGAGGCAAGCAAACATAAAGTTACGGCAAAGGAATGACTGGCTTTCAAAGACTTCAGACTAGAGGAACATCGAACTTAACAATACACACTAAATATTCAGATTGCAATAATCAAGGCTCATGAAATCTGCTCTGCTTTTGGCATTGGTGGGATAGAAAAAATACTACAGATCAAGAAGAGAATAAAATCACCTTCACCATACTTAACTCAGGAGGTTCTATGAATAAAAATTAGCAAGCTCGAGTCTTTTTGTTCAATCAATGTTCATCAATCACCTAGTAACAAGTGTTCTCTACCTTTACGACTATATGTATCAGCTGAAAACTCTCTTGTGTTATTTAATTCAGAATGGCAATGAATTCAGAGATTATGAGCGTGCTCAAAAGCTAGAGTACCAACTTATCCAGAAAGTATCAATTCCTCTAGCCTAGGTCTCATGAGGCAGTAAGTGTTTGACAATTGCACATTGCAATACAATCTAGCATAGCTAAATTGATCATGAATTTCAGCAAGGGGTTGCTGACCTTCTGTGGGTACAAAAGTGTTACAACTTCACAAACATGTGCCTACTCCATTGTTGATTTCCAAAGTTGTGCCGCATGCCACATCTATCAAGAACCCAATAACCATATTTCAGTCTAACATCTTAAAACTTAAAAAATGATACACAAGTTATCTTTTACACTTCTATAGAGATGCAAAAGGAGAACATTGGCCATACCAATTAATAACGACCAGAGATCTGATTGGCTGCACACAAGCACTGATATCATACGACAAGGGGTATTATTGTAAAGTTCCTGTATTCATTAAATTCCGTTAAGCAACACAAATTACGACGAACGCAAGAACACCTTCTATCTGCATCGGTGTACAACCGAATTAAAAAAAATGCAGAGCTTAATTTCAGTAGAAAGTCACCGGATCTCATTTCTTCCACCATTATGCCATGGTGATGGTGATATGTTAACCCTCACAGCCGAATAAGCCGAGCACACCATCAAGTCATCATGAGAGATGACCAAAATGTAAACGGAAAGTATCTATAATCCAACCAGAATTAGCATAAAGACTCCTGCACAAAAATAAAATAAAATTTCCTCCAGGGAGGGAGATAAAGAAACTTTGAAATGGTATTAGCTATACGATAGAACAGATTGGATTTGTGCACACTAACCAGATTTATGGACTTTTCATATAGGACGAAATACCACACAAGACCCTGAAGTGCCACCTGTGTGTGCATGGAGATAATTTTACAAGGCTAAAACTCCTAGATGGATCCCTGCATAGTAAATAGAATAATCATTTTGCTCAGACATCAGATATACAGTAATGATGTAACCAAAAGAGAACAAAATTGACTTGATGCGCGATATTACGGAGAAGCAAGACTTTTATGAAGAGTAAACTGTGATATTACATACACTTACCATAATTAATTAATTATCAATTCATGCTCATAAGGAGATGCCACTCAAGGCTTTGATGATGAAGGAACCTTGTATCAACGCAGAGAATTTTACAAAGATGGAAGAATTGACAACTCCATGGCCCAACCTGCTCACTGCAAAGTATATCGAAACACACACACACAGTTCAGAGTTTTGCAATAACAACATAAACAGTGGAGGTATACAAAACAAGGAGTATTTTTCCAAGTTGGGATCTACAATTCAGCAGTTCCATAACAATACATGAAGAGAAAAGTGTCCCACAAAATCGAAACAACAAAACGCAGAGAAGCAAGCCATGTACTTCCGTTTAATAAATAGTGGACTGGAAATACAACTGTACATGATGATTAATTATGCATGTACTGACCAGCTTTGCATGCAGGATGGGAGAAACAAACTGAGATCATCATGCTTGCACTGGCAAGTGGGAGCCTTGCTCGTAATTATACAGAGAGAACTGTAGGAGGCTAACAGAATATGCAGGTTGAAGAAGAACCCTGGAAAGTATATATATATTAAAAAAATTATAAGATAGAATAGCAGCAACTGCGGTGAACCAAATGGAACAAAAGAAAATGGCTTCGATGTACGAATTTAGGAAAAAGCTAGGGAACTGATTGTTTGTTACGCACCTTGGATTGGTCAAGTTCTCACAATTGGGATGGTTCCTATAAACTTGCGGCAGTCCCTTTTTAGCTCCTTGCTGTTGCCAAGATGGACATCTAACTCTCGCATTGAACTTGGAAGGCTGTCCTTGGGCAGCGACTTGATGGCATCACAGCGGCAGATATTCAATATTTCCAAAGAACTCGGGAGGCCGTTCGACAGAGACTTGATGGCACCGCAACACTCGATCTTTAATTCCCGCAGAGAGCTCGGAAGGCTGGGCAACGACAGGATGGCCGAACACCATATGACCCTTAATTCCCTGAGGTTGATAAGCTTGTGTAGCCCTGCAGGGAGGTGCTGCAGCTTGTATCCCCCAAAAAGTCGGAGGTCCTAGAGGCAGGTGAGGAGCTGAAGGGCCTCCTCTTGCTCCTTTGTCAAGCATTCCACCTCGTGGCCGAATAAGAGGAATAGTACTGTGAGGGTGGAAGAGAGGAGGCTACAGATGGGCGCAGCAAGGACTCCTGTGTTGTATTTCGTATTCAGAACCAAGGGCTTGGAGGAACGGGAATACCCCTCTTTGTCATGTGGCCATGAGGGATTGGATCCGGCGAAGAAGTTGGAGCGAGTATAGAGGGTTAATCGTGTGAGGCGGCCGTGGGCGAGGAGAGTCCATAAGCCCTCATCTCTTAAACCCTGCTCCCATGCATACAAGTATAATTCGGTGAGAGAGGTGAGGTTTGAGAGGGCTTGCAGCGTCTCCATGTGCTTCACGCTCCGTAGGCAGAGGACTTGCAAGCAGGTTGGAAAAGGGAAAACAGAGGAGGATAAGGATGAATAGGAGGAGAGGAGCTCGGGGCAGCCACTCACATCCAAGTGGCTAAGGGAGCGGAGACGTTGGAGCCCTGCTTCTGTTGTGGCGTGCTGGTCGTTGTCGTGCAGTGGATTGGAGAATAATAAGCTCACCTTTGGGCAATCTGAAATCCGCAATTCCTGTAGCTGGGGAGGCAATAGAAGTACTCCTGCTGCTGACGCTGTTATTATTTCCTCATCGTCTCTTGTCTGTTGCTGCTGCTCTCCAGAAACAGTTTCTGCATGCTCTACCACACCCAACCCAGTTATATTCTCACACCTATTCATATCCAACTTTGATAGGTTCGGAAGAAAAGAGAGCAGCAATGTCAATTCTTTTCCTTTCGTATCACAGTTACTGATCCTGAGTTCTTCAACTGGAAACCGGTATACGCCATGCCTAGCAGTAGCATCTCCAACCGATAACAAGAAACTGCTGGCACCCTCTATCACGATCTTCTTTAGAGATGCTAGCACTCGGAGGTTATCCAGCGGCAGGGGAGGGACTCTGTTCACGTACAACTCCTCTAGATCAGTTAGATTAGAGAAATTCAACCCACTCCACAACCCATCATATTGACCACCCTTTCCCTCAATTTCCAAGCTTAGTTTTGATTCGTACCTTTTGTGGTAAACCAGCTTTTCAAAACCTGATCCTGCTCTTACTATCTCAGCACAACACGGAGTACTAGTCCGCCAAGGGATAGAAGGCACTGATGCTAGTTTCGGGCAGTCGACAATGACCATCTCCCGTAGCCTAGGAAACCAACCCATTTTCTCCTCCATTCGTGCTTCATAGCAAGTAGAATGTGAAAATGGAAACTCCAAAAGTTCAGAACATCCTCTAATTATGAGCACTTCCAAGTAAGAAAAGAAAGGACAAGCGCCATTTCCAACCCATTTTTTCAACCTAGATATGTTACTTAATTGTAGCCTTCTCAAGTTATGGAAGCTTAGAGGTGAGAGGCTACAACCCTGATACTCTTCATCAAGCTCATTAACCATCCACATCTCTCCCAGAGGTGGAAGAGTTTTCCAAGATACACCATCCAGACAAAGAGATTCCAAACATTTAACTGAGAGATTCTCATATAGCCATGATGGGGAATTAGTGCCCCCGTGCCCTCTAATGCATAGCTCTTGAAGATTGCCATGTGGTACAAGGCTTCCAAGAACATTTTCTTCTTTTACAGGATCCACATTAGGTCGCATCACATCCCATTCTAGTATGAGTTCTCTTATGTGGTTCTTCTGTGCGAGTTTTGACTCACTTGCTTCCTCTTTTGTCTGCACATTTTCAAGATTATATATGCCAAGTGATCCTCCAATCTCCGTCAATGTTCCGAGCTGACTTAGTTAAAAACAATCACTCTCCTTTCCCACTCTAAATTCTCTTAATTCCTGGAGGAATTTTAGTTTTCCCACCCCATAAATGTCAGACTGAAACTGAAGTTTTTTTTTCTGGCACCAGAAAATGATGCAGTTTTATAAGGTTGCTCATATGTCTAGTTGAACTAACGTAGTGTTGCACACTTTGCACATCAATGACCTCTAAATGATACAATCTAAACAACGCGCTTGGTAAGCACACGTCCAAGTAATACACTGGCTTAATCCTTAGGTAACGAAGATGGACAAGTTTTGAAAAGTTGTGCAATAGGTCCTCCAAATTATATGATGCTTCAGACAAAAATATGACGCGAAGGGCTGTAGCTTCTCTAAATAAACCACCAATAGTTTTGACAAGGCTTCCATGGTATTCACCAAATAACATTAAAGTACGCAGGTGTTCAACTTTCAATCGTTTAGCTAGTGCACTTAAATTTCTGTCGTATTCTTCAAAAGACATTCTGTCATTTACATCTTTGTTATCCGTGATTATAGACAAGTGACGCACAGATGGGGGAATTTGTATATACCTTACGTTAGAACTATAGATGCTAAGACATTCATGCGATGAAACCTTCACTGCCAACTCATGCAATAAGTCATGGATAACATAATAAGAACGTTCTTCCCTTTTATTCATTTTGAAAAATCCATGGGTTACCAAGTAATTTAAATAGCACATTCCAACATCTTCAAAATATTCAGTCCAATCCACAAGTGAACCAACTCTTCGCTACCAAATTCATAATCTTCAGGAAATAAAGAACAAAAAGAAAAACATTGTTGTAGATGGAATGGAAGATGATCATAGCTGAGTTTTAAAGCTGGCATAATATCATTGTCATTGTTTTGTGATTCCCATTCTTTACTTTCCAGAACGCTTGTCCAAAGGTTTAATGTAAGTTTGTTTCTTAATAATCTACCAACAGTTTTTGCTGCAAGAGGGGAACCCTTCAGCTTGTCCACTATTTTGCTCCCAACTTCAGATAGTTCTGGATGGTGAATCCATGGTTCTTGGTCACCAAATACACAATCTTCAAAGAAAGACATAATATCTTTAGGACATAGATGCTCCAATCCCAGTGAGCATTTAGTTGTCTTAACCGTGTTTGCTACCTCGGGTATTCGAGTCGTGACTATAACCATGCTACCTTTTGCACCCTCGGTTTTGAATAAGGATAACAATTTTTTCCACTCATCCTCATGATGTGTCCACACATCATCTAACACAAGTAAAACCCTTTTTCCTTTTATCCTTTGCACGATAAGCTCTTCATCACTACAATCACTCTTTTCATTGTCAAATTTGGGGATATTTTTCACGATATCTTTTGCCAACCTATTCGCATTAAAATCAAAAGAGATACAAATCCAGATGGGGACTTGGAAATGACTCTTCGCTTGTTCATATACGTGTTGTGTGAAAGTTGTCTTTCCAATACCTCCTGGGCCGACAATTGGAAGCACAGTGAGTTCACAACATTGACTATTAGCAATTTCATCGAGGACAATCTTTTTGTGGCTATCCCTTCCATATAACTTAGGTTCTATAATTTGTGGGGTAGTTTTGGGTCTGTTCGTGGCAATGTCTTGGGTAGAGGCACGGCTAGAGTTCAGTAACTCTAGATTAAGAATGGTTGAGACCTTAGCACATACAGGCTTCAACTGCTCTATGATGTTCAATATCTTTCTAGACATTTCCACCCTGTCAAACTTCAGTTTTGGTATTTCTAAGGGGTGATTTTCCACCACTTCGGTCTGAGCATCATGGTCGATAGAGGGTAAGGAGGAGAAGCAAGAAAAGTGTTTACCGACATTGTGGGCAGCCTTAGGCATGCATCTGCCATGAACCTCATCGACACCCAGCTGTTTGGTGGGTGTCGGTAGTGAGGAGTTAACCTCACGCCGACCACCACAAAAGCGGAGACCTGAGAGGCATCCTTGTTTGCCATCGCCGTCTTGCTCATCAGGATCGGGACGCCTGGTAGCACGCGTGCACACAGGAAACTTGAGTTTGTTCCCACAAGCTTTGGTCATGTGGCGAGCATGGAGGGCGAGGTCCTGGACACAGCCAGCAGCATGCGTGTCTGCAGCATGGTACGTGCCATCGAGCTCATCCTGGATGCGGAAGTAGTCGATCGCGTCCAGCACATCGTCGGCCCCATAGGCCAGCTGCCGCAGCTTGTTTAGCAGCTCAGCCAGGGCGGGGTTGTGGATCTCCCTGCCCTCGGCAGTGTTCAACATTGCCTGAGCCTGCAACAGCTCCAGCTTTAGATTCTCGATGTTATACCCGAGCTTGGTGCTGGCTGCCCACAACTCCAGCACACCACCAGACAGTGGGCTCAGTGCTTTGCCAACCACCCAGCTCGCTGCAGATATGCCAACCGTCTCCATAGAGAAGATGGAATTATCGATATCGATAGTTCTGCATGCACCAGAGTTGTTAGCAAGGGCAACTATATATCAATACTGTGAACAAATAACCTTTTTTGAACTGGAATCCAAAAGGCATATATCATATACGTATTAAATAAGAACAAGAGTGTAAACTAATAATGGTTGGTAAATGTATGAGGTTCCAGTGTTCAGTGATAATAATCTCATGTAAACTTACCAGGAGAGCCGGGGTCAGAGCAGGCTGCACTGCAAAGTGTTGCTACCAGAGGAGACCTAGCTAAGAAAGATAGTCGAGAACTCTAGACGCAGCGGAGAAATGCCGGAGAAGGTTGATGTCCCGAGAGAGAGGCGTGGATGGCAGATGCGTGGAGAACTACAGATACTTAAGGGGTGGTATTTATAGATGCAAGCAGCTACAAAGTAAGGCTAGCCAATCAGAAGGACGTCCCAGTCGGATGAACTAAAATAATCGCAGCTAGTGAAGCTGGGAGAGCAAGCAAATTAATACTCCCTCCGTCCAAAAAAACTTGTCCCTTAAATGAATGTATCTAGCACCAAGTTAATGCTAGATACATCCATTTGAGAGACAAGCTTGGGACAAGCTTTTCCGGACGGAGGGAGTACTTGCCTTCAGATCTTGTTAAGGGCATCATTACAACCTGGTCTGGGACTCTGGGTAGCTCTGGAACCCTTTCTTGAAATTATGTTGGGAACACCAGCCTATACTACGGTACATAGCAGAGATAAAGCACAAAGGGAACAAAATCCGTTTAACAACATACGCGTCCATGATAAAAATAAAGGCCCTATAGCCGTGACAACAAATTTGGCGTTCCTTGCGGAGTTCTGGCACTGCTCTCTGCAAGTTGCGATCTAAGCCTGCACAGGAGCAAGTTTGAATCTTTCCATAGCTGCAAATGCACGAGAATTTTGTGGAATTTGTCATTAGGTTGCTTAAAAATGCCCCTCAATCAGTGATTTATTTGAAAGATTCAAAGCGGCCATGCAGTGCTTGAAAATGCTCTCCATCAACGGGAGTGGGCTAATCCATCATTGGCAACAGTGAGCTGATACATTTTCTTATGCAAAAGTAGCTGATACATTTTCTTATGCAAAAGTTAAAAATGAGCAGATGCTATGTTGGGGCAAATACGCAAGGCAGAAAATGTCACGAGCGTGCTCTATTTTCCTGAGGTGAAGCAAGGCATACATATTCTCGTTTAGTTGGCAAACAAAGAGGAAAGGAACTACTCCCTCTGTAAATTAATATAAGAGTGTTTAGATCACTAAAATAGTGATTTAAACGCTCTTATATTAGTTTACGGAGGGAGTAATAGGCAAGGGCGTAATCATCACAAGGAATATGGAAACAGTGAGCTGATGCTGAAGGTTACCTAATAAAGCATCATCTTTCTCTCTGAGTGCGTGATCAAGATGTGAGTTAGTGCTAAGACCCATCACCTTTACGTGCAGCACACCGGAGAGTGCGGCATTTGTTCCCTGTCTGGCCCTTTCCAGCGATGCTGATAATCTTAATGTCACATCAGATCTCCATTTGCTTTCTTTTTCTCTACTTTTGATAGGGCGTGTATCACCGCTGATGATCTTAATGTCACATGGATCTCCCTTTTTCTTTCTTTTTTCTCTACTTTTGATAGGGTGTGTATCACATTTGTTGTGGTTATCAGTTTCGAGGACAAGGACTCGCATCCATGGAGCACTTTTGGGAGCAAACAAGGGAAGGGACACATCCCAACAGTAAAGATAACTTGCTGTCCCCATCGAGCTTGATACACAGCTTACCAAATCTTTTCACCTCATGGTACGATAGTTCCACGCGCATGATACATGACAGGCAAGACTGCTGTTGCAGACAGTGCCTAAACAGGGGCATCAGAAGGTAAATGGAAATAATCTCGTTCCCTTGCAAGAAGTATATATCCTTTTGAACTTGAACAGACGACACAAGGAGAAGAAGGGTACATATATATGGGGATGAAGTGTGATTAGAATGCGCTGTGAGTACGCATCTCAAAATTGCTTCCTAGAACGCAACAGATGGAAAGAAAGAAAGAGCAAGAAAGGTAGAGCAGAGGCGCTCTGCGCTCATGACCAATCCTTCAGCTCAACAACCCAGCTGTGAAGTGAACCAGTTTCCCGACGCGTGCTCTTTTACTGTAGTTAAATTGAAGCAAACTCAGCACTCCACTAGTCATTTTTCTCAGATGGGGCGGAAGTTCAATGCAAACTCAGTTTGCTTATTCCATTGGTGTGTTTTTCCTTTTGTTCTGCAGACTGCAGAGCACAAATGACACAAACACTTACAGTGTCCAGAGGAACTTCCCTGTGCAGTAGCAAACTTATCATGTAGGAATGATTAAAAGATAAAGTGACATAAGTGCAGCATGTGTTCCATGCATAATTGGCCAATTTCCAGCGGTGCTCTGACCTTAATATCACATCTCAGCATAGATTAAAATCGCGGGAGAAACGATTTCGCGGCGGCCTCTCCCAGCAGCTATAGCGGCCGCCATAGCGGGCAATAGCGGCAAATAGCAGAAAATTTTCTGGTGGGAGAGATGATTTCTAGAGGTTTTTGCTGATTTTTCTGCCATTTAGAGGGATATGTTGAGGTTTTCGCGGCCACAGCCATAGCTTAGCGGCGAGGCTCCCGGGCAGCTATAGCGCAGCTATTGCGGCTATTTCGCGGGCTATTTGAATCTATGCATCTCAGTCTCTCTGCTTTTATCCTGGTGTAGATTTCCTGCCCCCTCGTGGTTTCTAAGCAAGTATCCAACGAAAATACTACTAGTACTGAGATGATGCCCAAGGTGGTGCTACCAGTTAAAGCATAATCAGTGCTTGTGCGCGTGGTGTGATGAGATGCAAACTGTTGCTCATCCCCACCCTCGACTCTTTCCAGCTGTCCTGAACCCTGATCCTGATGGCACAAGTGCATGAACCTTGTCACAGTACCTGATCAACAGAGTGGTTATTTCTAGTGAACGGTGAGTGTGCGAGTAATAATTGGATGGGCACCAATGCAATATGCAGACCTCAACCAAATCAGCCAACTCTCACTTATTTCATCCATATCCATGACAATAATTGGTTAGGGATGGATGATTTTCGGGGTGACAAATCGAATCAATTCTGAGATTTTAGAGACAAAGGTGGGCAGTCAAGCTGACATCTGTCCTTAGCACCTCAAAGAAGGAGGGGAACTTTTGGTCTATGGGGACATATGCACCCTATATGGGAAAAAAAATTAGTAATTCAACAAAATGTCAAAAATTCCTGAAAATATTTTGGAAATAAACTTGACCTTCTATTGTACTCGTGAAAAATAAAATCCACCAAAAAAAAATCCTTTTGACTTCTTTTCAAAAAAGACAAATTTCCGGTCAAAATAGCGTGAATAGTGAACTATAATAGCAAATAAATTTTGTCTTTTTCGCTGTGAAGTCAACATATTTTTCTTTTTTGTGAAAATTGTGTATACTAGTGCGTAAGTAAGTCAACTTTATTCTAAAAATAGTTTCTTAACTATTTTAAATTTTTGTTTAACTATTAAAAATAAATCCCCATATAGGGTACATATGTACCCAGGAACCATTGGGTATTTCCCCTCAAAGAAGCATGTCCGTTGACACTTCAAAGAAGCTTTGCTGAAGTGAAATGCAAGTGAACCCAGCACTGTACTAGTCATTTTCTCCAACTGGAGCAGCAGCTAGCTGAATGCAAAACCAGTTTGCCTATCCCTTTGGTGCTTTTGCTTTCTCCTCTTATTGTTCTGCAGAGCACACATAACACACAAACTTTTTAGCCTCCCGAGGAACTACTTGCCTTTGGAGCATAAGCTTTGCAGGTAAAAAGTACTAATACACAGAGTGTGAGTGAGATATGTAGGGTGGCATGAAGCGGCCAGAGTCTGTTGAGAGATGCTTGCGTTGTTGCTTGTGATGAGAATTGAAGGAATACAACCCGCATGTAGAATGGCCAGTGAATGCTAAAAACACCATGTTGTGTTGCCATTTCTGAATGAAACGTATTTAGGCTAACAGAGTCTGAACCTCTGAAACTTGTATCGAAGCCCTACCCTAGTCCTGACAAAACATAATCATCCTTCCCACATACGTATGGTACAAGAAGACTGAACTGAAATTGAGAGGGTCTCATGTAGAACACCCTCCTCAGCTTCACGCCAACGGATCCAGTCAATAAACGAAACGCCTACGAGACCGGCGGGGCAGAGAAGGAGCTTGGACGGAGATGCGCTTACGGATTGGCGTCGGAGGAGGAGTCGGGAACGGCCGCGGAGGCGGCGGCGGCGAAGCCATGGGCGGCCGGCTTGTTTCGTTCCCCTCCTTCTCCTTGTGACACTCGTGTGGGCCTTGCCGCCGATGGGTTACAAAGAAAGAGAAATTGGTAGAGTGCGTGGGCCTTGACCCGTAGGCTTTCACAAAGCCCAGTGCACATTCCGAGTAGACACACGAGCCCACGTTCAAAAGAAACGATCCCACGTTCAAAAAAAAAAAAACGATCTCTTGAGACTCACCGGCCAGAGTCTGCAACTTCTGCAGCAGCTCCCCGTAAAAAAACAAAAAATAAATAAAAAACTTCAGCAACTGCATTTCCCAGAGGCCACAAGATGTGAAATGACTCGGGTGGTGATGGAGATCAGTAAGTACTCCGTATTGAGCACTCCACTTGCTCTTATCTGCAAATCTCTTTCGGGATATCGTTGCAACTAAAACACTACAGCTACTACTTGCCCAGCAGCAACAAGTTACTGCATTCAACCCAACTAACTTTGCCCAGCAGCAAGTTAACTGCCGAACAACACACCTCTTCAGGTTGTGAGCGCACCGCACACAGCTCTTGTTGTGTTCATCTGAATGCCCATAAAAAAAAGAGGATTTTTCTTCCAGAATAGCCTATTTTCGAGCAAACCAAACGTGAAAGCATATCCAGTTTCATATAAAAAGGAGACCACCAAGGTGAAAACAATATCAGCGAACCATTTATCTATATATATGGACTTTGTTTATGCTTCCGCGAAACAACCAACCACCGGACATAACTGTTGTTGCTTAGTGAAACTGCTTCAAACGTGTTCTCACATCAAGTAGCACAGAAGCTAAAGGGGGGGAAACATTCTCTCTTCACTATACATTCTTGCTGAATATAACTAACACTTGCTACAAAGAGAAGAAACAAGAAAAATTTATCTCGGGTTTCTCCCTTGCTGACTCCCACCCCTCAAGGAAAACAGTATCTAAAACCGCAGCACATGGCCTGGCGGACCAAATTTCTTCACATGACCAGAGCTCCTGATTCAAATTGCCCGTGTGCACTTCTGAAATTCCTGAAAGCTTAGCATAGAGAGATTGCAAACAATTATTGAAATCCACATAAACTTCAGGTCGAGAAACTTCCCACAAACTTATCAAAGTAGCAGCCTAACAATTGAGCACATACCTATATAACAACTTTATTCATTGCCATGAGGGAACCGGAGAGTTCTGAGAACGGATTCATTATATGAGGGTGATCGGCACCAACAGTATAGCTTTCAAAGTTTTTCAACACCAAGTCACTAAGTTGTTTGACTGCAATCCCAAGAGCAAAAGGAAACAAGACAGATGGCGGAGATCAGTGCCGTAGGCGTCGGCAGCACGGGCGCGTAGACAGATTTGAAGCAGACGTACATCACGAAACTGAAAATGGGAGACTTGGCTCCAATCTACATCGTGGTTAATAGAGTTTGCTCGTTCTAGATGTTCCCTGTTACAGTACTGTTTATTAATGGACGCAAAGTCTCCCTGATGAACCACTCCTAGCATGCTCCTTCTTCTGTAAGGGCCCAAACACAAACCCAAATCTCGCCGGATCATACCTGGACAAAACAAGCAGACACATATATACCCTGTGTTCTACTCACAAAGTCACAAGACAAGCAATATGTGTAGTATGTCCAGACTCCAGGTCATGCCTGTGAATAGAGCAAACCTGTGTAGCTTCTGCACTCAAATCTTGTCTTGTAAACAGAAATCGCAGGAAAAAAATTCCTCGGAAAATAAAAACAACATGGCAACAATGATTGGTTCAGATTGCCAATTGGGTATCAGGCAACCGGAAGATTCTGCAGTGAACCATTACAGTGTCTTTATTTAATTACGCTTTAGCACAGGCAACCAAAAGTGACACCCAATCATAGATTCAGATATGAAGATACTATTGCAATTTGCAAAGAACTGCATTTCATTTCACTGAATATACATGTCCACACTGAGAAAACAAATGAAATTTTTTGTCCTGTTTTCATACCACCCATCGAAACCTGCTACAGGTTGAAGCTACAAGGGAAATAGCAGGTGTGAAAAAACCATTCTCTCTTCCTTATAGAATTATTAGGGAGAAAGTGGCTATAAAGAGAAACAAAAGCTATATATGATTCATCTCAGGCTTCTCCCTTTCTGTCTCTCCCTCGAGAAAAAGAGTCTCAGATCGCGGCCAAATGATCCAGGCTCCTGATTCAACTTGCCCACGTGCTTGTAAAATACCTGAAGGCTTAGCATAGCTAGATTGCAAACAAGTGCTCATGTGCAAACAATTATTGAAACCCTCATGAACTTCGGGTCGAGGCACTTCCTGCAAACTTATTAAAGTAGCAAGCTAGCGGTTGAGCACACACTTAAATAACTGCTCTTATTCATTGCCAGTAGGGAATATATTTCATTTTTTGAGATTGACCAGCATCAACAATATAGTAATCCAGTTTTTGAACACGAGTCACTACATGGTTTGACTTCAATTTAAAGAACAAAAGAGAACAGGAGAAGCCAACAATTTTATTCCTTTCTGAACCTTCCAAGAGCAGGTATCGAGTGAGATTACCTCATCATGATCCGGAATTACTCTCATCACTTAATTATAATCCTCACTGGCCAGTGGCCGAAGTTTTTTCTATCTACTTTATATTTGTGGAAAGCTTATCTGGAGCTTGGTTGGGTAATTCAAACAATGAGCAAATCTGAAATCAAGATTGTAAAGCTAAATAAGAGTTCAACTCTAGTACAAAGAAGTCTTCACGTTCCAGTCATTGGAGAAAGGTAGTGCCCAGGGGATGTGGGAGGGAATGGACTCACGCCAAAAAATGTTTGAGAGGCTATCAATATTGCATAGGTAGTAGTTTGATTAGCCATTCTGCATTCTGCACATGAATATGGAAGCACTGCTGATTATTTCTTCCTGCTTGAGAATGAAACTTTGACCTTTCGAATGGCGGCCCTCACTCTTTTTCTTTCTTTATTTTTTTATTTTTGTGAGAGAGGCATCAATATTGACGGATATAGCTCTTCATAATGATGAAATTTGCAGGGTCAATGACAACAAAGCGCTTTTGAGTCTTCTTTAACTTGATGAGTGTGCTTATGGAATAATCAACTACTGTGGGAGAGAGAGACAGAGAGAGATGTGATATGCAGATAGGTAGGTATGGTGTGAACACATGGAAGAGATGGTTTATTTTCTGGGATTTGTATATGTACACCGGCAGAGCTTGTGATGAAGGAATGCAATGCTGAGTGTTGAAGAGGCTAGCAGACATAAGTTACGCAAAAAGAGTGACTGGATTTCAAAGACTTCGGACTAGAGGAACATCAAACTTAACAATAAAAAGGGCAACCTGGTGCATGTAGCTCCCGCTTGCGCAGGGTCCAGGGAAGGGTCCGACCACTTTGGGTCTATAGTACGCAGCCTTTCCCTACATTTCTGTAAGAGGCTGTTTCCAGGACTTGAACATCAAACTTAACAATACGCACTAAAAATTCAGATTGCAATAATCAAAGGCTAATGAAACCTGCTGTTTTTGGCATTGGTGGGACAGAAAAAATACCCCGGATCAAGAAGAGAATAAAACCACCTTCACCATACAAAATTCAGGAGGTTCTAGGAATAAAAATTAGCAAGCTCAAGTCTTTTTGCTCAATCAATGTTCATCAATAACCTAGTAACAAGTGTTCTCTACCTTTATGACTATATGCATCAGCTGAAAACTCTCTTGTGTTATGTAGTTCAGCATGACAATCATTCATAGATTACGAGAGTGCTCAAAAGCTAGACTTCCAACTTATCAAGAAAGCAGGAATTCTCTAACCTAGGTCTCATGAGGCAATAAGAGTCCGACAATTACACAATGAATACAATCTATCTTGCTAAACCCATCATGAATTTCAGCTGGGGTTTACTGACCTTTCCTCAAACCTGCTACCACTGCATTGTTGAATTCCAAAGTTGTCCATCGGCCATGTCTATTGAGCGACCAAGAAGCTTAGTTCAGTCTAAAAAGTTTGGAACATAAGACAAATACACGAGTACCCTTTTAGACTTTTGTACGAATGTGAATAGACAAGGCATACCAATTAGTGAAAGCCCGAGATCTCAGTTTACTTGACGCAAGCACTGAGATGGTTAGAAAGGTATTCTTGTAAAAAGCTCCTGTAATTAACAAAATTTCATTTAGCAACAAAGCTTATGACGAATATCTGCAATGTAGCATCGAACTGAAAAAACTACAAACCTTAATTTCAATAGTAAATCTGCAAAATATCGGTTATTCCCCCATTTTATGATCCTCACGGCTGAACAAGCACACCGGCACCAAATGTAACTGCAAAGTATCTTGAAACCAACCAGAACAAGCATAAGAACACCTGCACAAGAAACAAAAAAAATGTTGAATGCATATTAAATTTCGTCCATGAATGGAATGGCATTAGCTGAGGACCATGTTGATTTTCTTGATATTTCTCAGTTCGATAAGGAACATCTAGGTATCAGTAATATGGTTGGAGAAGTTCAACACGTACTTACCAGATTTATGTACTATGTACAGTAAAAAGATACAACACAAAAGATCCTCGTGTGCAGACTTTGCATAGATGGGGATGATTAACAAGGCTAAAAACTGTACTGCTCCCAGGCAGAGAACCTGCAAAGTAGATGAAAACACATAGTGTTTAAGATTTTTCAGTTGTGACGTAAATCAAATCAAAAATATGAGCAGTGATTTAAACTAATAGAACTGGGAGCAATTTTGATCAGACAGATAACTTAGGCAGATACTTTTCAGACAATTTGCATGTACTTACCAAATGTGTTGACATGACAAAAATACCACACAGGACCTCATGCGCCAACTATCCATATATGGGGATAAGTCCACAAGGTGAAAGTGATGCACGGACCAGCTGCACGTACGGTTGATGGAAGCAAACAATGTTCAGAATATGCAGTAGCAAGTGAACCAAGCCGAAAGAAAAATGAGTTAGCGTCTGTGGTATCAGAAAAAAAGCAAGGGTAATGGTGGAAATCGAGAATTGGTACGAGCAAGGAAGTATTTGTTACCTTGGATCAGTCTATAATGTGATTTCTGGGATGGTTCCAATTAATCGCACGCACCAAAGAAATTGGGGATTCGTTGGACTTGTAAATTGCTGAGGTGGCCCCGAGTAAGGAGAGGCAACAGGCCCTCGCATCTCAAATCCTCTCCGCAACGAGATATGCTTAATCGGGTGAGAGAGGTGAGGTTTGAAAGGGTCAGCACGCCCTTCACGGACGAAAGATCCAGGTGTAGCAGGGAGGACGGGAAAGGGTGGCGAAAAGAGCAATCTTCTAACCAAAGGGCAATTAGGGTTTGGAGGGCATTGAGGGAATGAACTACCACACCACCATAACTGATGACCAGCGCCGTCAGAGAGTTGGAGAGATGTGCAGGGAGGAGCAACAGCCCATCATCATCTGCCATGTTTGCCTCCTCCTTCTCCACCTCTGCTATTTCTTGTTGCCCCTCTTTTGCTAGTGTATCATCCATTGTAACATCTGAAGAGATTGACAATGATACTGGTGCTGTTTTTTGCTGCAAATCCACCCCCACAGCAACCTGTGTTATGTTTTCACAACGATATAGTTCCAGTTTGGATAGCTTTGGGAGGTGAGACAAGAACTGTGTCAATTCCTTTCCAGTAGAAGCAGATCTCCAAAATTTAATTTCCTCCACAGGATTGTGGGGACCCCGACTCATAAGTCGAGATCACCGAATGCACGTGTACAGTGATCCCAGAGATCAATGTTCACTGAACACACAGAAGCTGAATAACAAGAGTCTTACATCCATACATACCGTCTTACACAAATTATGACCATTATGGTCAAGTCTTACATAGATAAAGCCTTAAGGGCTGAACATCAAGTGAAACACAAGCAGCGGGAATCTTCGTCGATAAGTAGAACCCATGCCATCTGCCTTAACCCTACAGGCATTCTGACTGGGAAACGCCCTAGTTCGCATGTTCGTCTCCATAGAATTCTTCTTTGAACTCCGGTTCTTCCATGCCTGGCCAATTAAATAACCAGTGGCAAGCCAATGAGTACTTTGAATGTACTCGCAAGCAACCCAAGTTTTGGTTCAAGGAACAACAATGCATGATATAGGTAAATTTTTGCGGAAAGCTAGTTTTGAGTGCAATGACATGTTCAACAACTTGTAAGGCATGCATCAGGAGAATTCAATTAACCATGAGGACAGGTTACAGATATCAACATAAATAGAGTGGGCACCAACCCAACTCAATCATGTCAAGTCCTTGACTTGACCCAGGTAGTTTTTCCCACACACACACTGGTTGAAAACAAGTGGACGTAGCCCAAGAGCGGTTACCCAATTGTCCTTGACCGTGGACACGGCTATTCGAATAGTTTTACACTTTGCAGAGGTTGCACACTTTACCCACAAGATCCGGGGAACTTTCGTGTCATCCACGACCCGCGGTACCTCAAGTACCCGGGGTAAGCACCCGATCACTATCTTTCCCTAGACGACACTAACAAGGAGTCCACTCGTTGTTCCATATCCTCACGATGTACATCATACGAGACTCACTCGAGATCGTAACACCCGAGAGGGGACACAACGGTGTATCCGGTGCCCTGTGAAAACAGTCATGGCCGCCCTACCTGGCACGACCCCGTCCCGAGAGAGAGCACCAACTCTCCCCCGTCACTAGTAATGCGGGCTCCAAGCTAGTATCGGCCTAGGTAATCAATAATGCCCTTTCCCATATAAGGGTGGAGTGGTTGCGCATGTAAGGTTGGAATAACAGTCGCAACTTAAACCAATCCGTTTTTGAAAACCACACACACACTTGCCTCGGTACACCACTTCGTCATCAAGTGGTTACCCAACTCATCGTCTCCCTCGGGCATAAGTGGCACCTGACGGGGTTTTCGGAAAGTCCTTTGAAAATACTTTGTCTCCATCATTATGCATATTCCCGTCCCTTTTTGCGTATCACTACTTTAGCATCCTATCTACTCCCACCGGCATAACCCTCATAAGAAGGTAGGGTCATGCACAATGCAAGTATCAACAAGGAGGAAATGAAGGCAACCCACCAAAGTGGCTACCATCTCATCATGATCCCGATGCAACAATATTGAAGTGCTATGTGAAATGCATAAAAAGGGTTTCATAGACATGGTCAAAGGGCTGCTTGCCTTGGTCTTCAAAGTCTTCAAGTCCTTCTCCTTCTTATCCAACTACTTCGTCAAATACGGGATCTATTCGTCGCAAAAGAAATAACGAGAAAATAAGGCAATAATAAAATAGAAAAACCAAAGTGCTCAGAAAAATGTCAACTTATTTTTGATAAATACTAGGGGGAACTCTAAGAAGGGGAAAATTACTAGTTATGGATTTGGAGTTGTACGATAGGAGAAATGGATTTTCAGAGGGGAATATAAATGCTCAAATTTGAATTTAAATTTGAACAGTGCAAAAAAGTTTGATGGATATTTATGAAAGTTACACCATTAAATAGGTGGGATTTTTAGAAAAAAATGGGAGTTGGAATTATTGCATTTGGATTAATATTTAATCCTGTTGAAATTTTGCAAGTTTCCAGAAAAAGAAAAAGGAGAAGCAGCACTGTGCAACTGGGCCAGAAGGGCCACAGTGCAGCAGGCCCAGAGGGATCCGGCCCGCGCAAGGCTGCCACGTCGAAGGCGTATTTGCAAAATACGTCTCCAGCCGACGCAGCGAATCGGTGCGCGCGCGTGCGTGTTTAAACCTGACGGGTGGGTCCCACCCGTCAGGGCGTGAGGCTGACGGACAGGGCCCACGGGCGTCGTCGTCTACCTCTGTACAGAGGCGATGGCAAGCTCGCCGGCGGCGATACAGGGCACGGGAGGATGCGTGGGTGGTACCGTTGTGCACAGGGAGGATCCGCCGTTCGGATGGAGGTGGTGTTGGTCGCCGGGGTGGCCTGGTTCGCCGGCGACGAGGTCTTGCGACGGAGGAGCTTCGGGTGGTGGTCGTTCCGGCCGTTTCTGGCTGCAAAAGAAGCGGGGAAGAAGGGTGAAATGATCAGAGGGATGCAGGGGTTCCAGATCGAGGCAGAGGAGGGGCGGGGGAGGCCTATACCTCGCGAACTCCGGCGAGCCGAAGCGGCGGAGCTCGAGCTCGATCTCGAGCTCGGGCGGCTCTGGAGAGGAACTGGGGGTGCAGGGGGAGGTTTTGGTGGTGCAGAGAGCGAGTGGTGAGGAGAGAAGGGCTCGGGGAGGCCTTTAAATAGGCGAACGGCGAGGTGTCGTGGACTCGTGCGCCGGAGAGCTCCTGCTCGTCGCCACAGGGCTCAGGAGGAGCTGGCGCCGTGTCTGGGGTGTTCCTGGGCGCGGACTACGCTGAGGGGAGCTAAGGAAGAGAGCGGGGAGGGGTCAGAGATGTGCGTGTGTGAGCCGCGCCATTGACGCGGTCGGGCGGCCGATGTCTGCTAGCGCGGAGGCGCGGGGAGGAGGAGAGAGGAGGGGGCCGACCACGTAGCGTGCTGCGGACGCCGAGGCGCATCGGCAGGCGCGCGGGGGAGGCCCGAGGTGGCCGGAGGTGGTTGGAAGGTGGCGGCTACAGTGCGGGAGCGCACTGTAGCGCGCTCCAGAGCGCCCAAATGGCCGGCATGGCCATTCTTTATGCCTAGTGAGCGCGTCCTTTGGTCTCTAGCAGGTCTAGGGGTGAGTAAAGTAATGGGGTGGTGCATTGGATGCCATGGATGGCCACTGGGGTGAGGGGAGAGGAAGAAGAAGTGTGCAAATGGTTGTCCAGAGGGGTAAATGAGGTGGTTTCACCCCTCAATCATTGGGCTGAGATGCAGCCATTGTTACTGGAGGTAGAGGGCGACTAGGAGGAGATGTGGTAAAAAGTTGAGCTCAAGGAGAATGGTTTTGGTGATCAAAAGGGTGATTTTTGAAAAGTGGCAGAAGGTGTTTGATAAAGGTTTTGGCAAGCAAATGATTTCTACTTGCCATGAGACTCAACAGGGTGAAATGACACATATAATTGGGGCCTTCCACCAATTTGGAGCTTATTTGGGCAAAGTTGCCAATGCAACTTTTGTAAACCCTAGAAATGAGCAGAAATAGACTTGTGTAGATCTAGTTGAGCATAACACTTCTCCTTGATGCACTACTTGGTGTAATGGCCTCATTTGGGCATATGAACATGCTCACAAAAGTTGAGGTCAAGGAGAGAAAGTTGGTAGTACAAACTTGTTCAAACTTGGTTCTGGTCAGAGAGGGTTTTGGGGCATTTTGGTGAACGAAAATGACTTTAATTGACATTAGGCTTTGCAAGGTGATCACAATATGCATTTGTGACTTGCTGGATTTTTCTTGGATTTTTATGAAAATATTTCCTGTAGAAATATTTCAAATCCTTGAAATGGGCAAAAATAGTTTTGAGGGGATTCCATGGGGTTATACTATTCTTCATGACATGGGACTTGGCAAGATCATCAAACATGTCATATGTGACATGCTAGAATTTTCTTGGAATTGTTGGAGAATATTTCCTTTGTAAATATTTCAAAAGCTTGAAATATCCAGAAAGGGTTTTTGAGGGATTTGACCAATATTTTGAACATGACCATGTGTTGAAACTCTTATATATGGGAAATATATGCCCACTGAGTCTCCCTGATTTTTGTCAAATATTTTTGAAATAATGAAATAATTTTTCCTTATTAAAGACCATTTCTGGCCTTAAGAAAAAGCTTTTAAATAAAATAGGAAAATAACTTTTAAAATTATATTTTTGTGGTTTCTGGGTATCCTATATCTAATAGGTTTCAAATATACCTTTTGAAAGATTTTTCACACCTCAAATCAAGTACTTGCAGTGCAAATCTTAATTCAAGGGTTTTTGGAAAACTAATTTTAGAAAATACTTTTTGGCCAAATTATTTTTGTAAGAAAATACTATATTGCACTATACACATGGCATGATCATTGGGTAGAAGTTTGGGGCAAGGAGATGAAGTATAGAAGGCGAAGCTATGTTGACTTTTTAAGAGCACTTGAAAAACATAGAGAGAAAACCAACTCAAATAAAAAGTCAAATAATGCAAAAGTTTTTGTCAAACCACACTTTATCATGATTTATCATCTTAAGTGTTGTGCCATGAAAATCAGGGTGTGACAAGGATGCTACCATTCGACACCACTCTGAACTTCTGATGCCACCACCCCAAGATATGAAGACCATGCCCACAATTTCTTCAATGAGGTTAGCATTAGAAAATGCTTCAGCTCCAGAGGTGGGCAATTGTTTATTTCCAACACCTGAAGTTCTCTTAGTTGACAGAATAGTAACAGCTGATCCAAGTTATGCATACCATCCTTTGCATTAACTTCCAATTCCTGAAGTTCTTTTAGTTGACTGAGTGACAGCTGATCTAAGCTATGCATACCATCCTTTCCAGTAATTTCTAATGCTACTCTAGAGTAGACTAACTGGTTTGGTAGCTTTGATCCCACACCACTTATCGAGACGTTGCTCAAAGTATGAGTCCAAGGGATAGGAGGCAGTAGGAAGACTCCAGGGCAATTTTCTATCCTGAGTTTTTGTAGTTTGGGAAACCAATCTATGTTCCAGTCTTGTTTCAGTGGGTAAACAATGTGGCTTGAACATGGCAACTCCGAGAGTTTAGGGCAATTTTTAATAATCAGTACTTGCAAACACGGGAACAAATGAGTGGCCTGTGGTACCCATTTTTCAAAATTTTCTAAGCCGATGAGTGTAAGCTTTACTATCTTGCAAAAGCTTTGCTCTAGACTAAACTCCTTTATTGTGACAATATTCTCCACTGTTAGTTCACGAAGATCCCACATCTTCCCCAAAGAAGGAAAAACACCCCAAGAAACACCAACAAGACAAAGAGTCTGTAGAGCCTCAACAACGAGCTTATCACCCAACCACGCTGGACAAGGACCTCTGTGTCCTCTAATGCACAACTCTTGAAGATTTCTATGTAGTCGAAGGCTCTCTAGAACCACTGCTTCCACATCGGGTTCAATATTGGACCGCTCACTATCCCAACATAATGTTAACTTGTGCAAGTAGTTTTTGTCTATCAGTTTTGCTTCAACTGCTTTGTCTTTGGTGTGTATTTTCTCAAGGTTATAAATCCCAAGCTCTCTTATCTCGTTGAGATGCTCTAGTTGATTTAGTTCAAACCCTTCACTTTCTTTATTGACTGCAAAAACCTTTAACTCCTGTAAGAGTTTTAGTTTCCCGACATTATAAATACCCGAATAAAGATCATCATATTGTGCAAGAAAATGGCACAATTTTGCAAGGTTACTCATGTCTCTAGGTAAAAGTAAAGAACCACCCCATTCTTGTAGATCCAATATCTTCAAATGATAAAATTGGGATAAGGTTGTTGGTAAATGCATCTGGCTGATTGAAGTCCCTAGCTTTAGGAATCGTAGGTGCAGAAGTGATGAAAAGTTATGCAACATGGATTCCAGGGGATATGACAATGTGGGCAAACAAAGAACACGGAGAGCATTTGCTTCCATGAACAGATCACCAAATATGCTGACAAAGCTTTCATCTTCTCCTCCAAATATAATTAATGTTTGCAAGTTTTCAACCTTCAATTTTGTCTTAAGTTTCCTCAACTCACTCTTAAAGGTCTCATCAGTAATTCCATTACTATCATCTGGACCATCTATTATGATCGACAAGTGACGGATAGATGGCCTAATATCTACTGATCTTACATTAGAGTGATGCAAACTAAGACATTCATGAGATGCAACCTTCAAAGCTAAATCATGCAGCAGGTCATGAATGATATAATATGGATGCCCGCCAGTTTCATCTTTTTTGAAAAATCCATGGTTGACCAAATCATTTAAAATGTCTACACCTACATCTTCAACTGTTTTATTTCGATCACCAGAAGGCAAAATATCCAGTCCTATCCAGAAATGAATGAGCTCTTCACTCTTAAACTTGTAATCTTCAGGAAATAAAGCACAACGAGAAAAACATTGCTGCAGATGAAAAGACAGATAATCATAGCTAAGTTTCAATGCAGGCATAATGTCACGCTCACCAGTCTGCATTTCCCATTCTCTACTTTCTAGGACTCTATTCCAATGATACACATCAAGGTGGTTTCTCAATAATCTACCTACAGTTTTTGCTGCAAGAGGGGATCCCTTTAGCTTTTCTGCTATCTTATCCCCAATCTCAAGTAACCCATGATGATCTTTTTGTGATTGCTTATCGTGAAAAATGCATGCTCGAAAAAAGTCTGTAAACACTCCTTGTTCTAAGCCCTTCAGATCTATTGAACTATCAGTTGTTTTAACCATTTCTGCTACAGCTGGAAACCGAGTTGTCACTAAAATTATATTGCCCTTTGTCTGCCCTTTTCTGAGTGGTACTAAAAGCCTTTCCCAGTCGTCAGATTCACACTTCCAAATATCATCTAATACAAGCAGAAACCTTTTAGAATTTAATCTCTGTTCAATTAACACTTCTGCTCTACCCCCTTTTTCACCTTCCACACTAGGTATTGCTTTTTCAATCTCTTCAGTCAGCTTATTAACAATGAAATTCTGAGATACACATATCCAGACCTTGACCTGAAAATGTTTTTGCACTTCTTGGCTGTGATATATGTGTTGTACGAGAGTTGTCTTCCCTATGCCACCCGAACCAACAATTGGCAGGATAGTTAGGTCTTTGTCACTATATTTAACATGAGTAATACTATCTATGATGCTCTTCTTCGCAGTTTCTCTCCCGTACAGTGTTGACTCTATAATGTCAGAGGTGGTGGTGGATGGACTCTTGGCAATGCTTGGGGCGGTAGTATGGCTAGAACCCAACAACTCTAGATTAAGAATGGCTTTGACCTTTGCACATACTGGCTGCAGTTGCTCTACAATATGCTTCATTCTTTTAGACAGATCCACCCTATCAAACTCTAGTTTTGGAGTTTCTTTCACATGCTTTTTCAGGGATGCCTTGTGCTTGCAGGCACCGCAAATGACTGGCATGACAGAACTATCATCATCATGAGTTGGGAGGGATGAGCAATGGAGGAGTTTACCAACATGACGGATGGTGTTGCAAGCACCAGAAGCGAGCTTGCGCATGCATCTTCTGACCTCTTCGTTGGCCTGGTGGTTGTGTGGCGCTGACAGGGTGTTTGAGCGTGCACTCCGCTGCTTGGCACATGGCCAAGCGCAGCAGAGTACTTGTTGCCTTGTATCTTCTTCCCTTGGCTCGCTTGGATCAACACGGCTAGCCGTACGCAAAAATGGACAGAAGCAGAGCAGTTTGCCAGCAGCTCTAGCGGTGTGATGAGCGTTGAGGTAGAGATTGCACACGCAGCCCCTGGCATGCTCGTCGGCGGCCTCGTAGGTGCCGTCGAGCTGGTCCTGGATACGGAAGTAGTCGAGCTCGTCCAGCACATCCTCGGCATTGTACGCGAGGTCCCGCAGCTTCTGCAGCAGCACGTTAAGTGCAGGGTTGTCAATGTTCCGGCTGCGGGAGTTGTTGAGCATCCCCTGCACATAGAGAAGCTCCATCTTTAGCGCGTCAACGTTAGGGCCTAGCTCCTTGCTGGCAGCCCACGCCTCCAGCAAGCCGTCGGCGACAGGGCCCAGCGCCTTGCCCACCACCCATCGCGCCGCACCTATGGCTACCTCCATGCTGAAATCAAGGGCGCTGCATGCAGGAAGAGCAATTCATTTCTTTGCAGTTACCCACTAGCTAGCAATAACGGTGATAACATTGTTGATAGGGTAGAATATTGGCGTACAGAAGGAGATGAGCAAAACAATACCAGATGATTGCAGTTGCGAGCGAGAGAGCAGGGAGGCAGAGATTGGTGAAACACAAGACCAGCCAGATGATTGCAGGCGCAGGTGTTGTCGATGTTTGGGTGAAGAGGATAGGGAGGTACTTATAGACCCGGTGATGCAGGCGGTTGCAAGCAGAAATAGGTGTGGGGTCATCCATTGCGTGGTATTGGCATTGGTGAGCTGATACTTTGCCGAACCTATGTTGGTGCAAACAAAGTAGCAATGGTCGAGAAGGAGCCAAGGCATCTCAGGGCACACGCATTCTGTTTTTCTAGGGTGAAGCAAGGCATGTATACCTATGCTTGGTGTCCTCCCATAGCAGGCCCTTTGGTGAACAACAAGGAAAGGAATTAGTAGGCAAGGAATCGGGCACCGGCAGCGGCGAGCTGATTCAAAGGTTACCGAATAAGGCATCGGCTTTTCTCTCTGAGATGGTTTCCTTTTCCCTTTCCCGCTTTTCTGGTTTACCTCTTGGCTCTTGCTGTTCCGCAGAGCACAAAGCCACCTGCAAATGACACACAAATCTTGTAGTCTCCAGAGGTACTTGCATTTGCGGTAGTAACTTAGCATGTGCTCCAGTAACAAGTACTACTCCTAAAAGACACCGTGAGATAAGTAGGTAAGGTGAAGCGCTCATAATTTGTCGAGATGTTTGCCTTGTTGCGTGTGGCTCAACTCGAGTATGAGATTTGACTGGGTGAAACATCACAATCAGAAGTTCAGAACAGTAGGGTCAATGCTAAGGGCCTAAAAGAGGAAATATTTCTGTCAACATCTCGGTGTTGTTACCGTAACAATAAAAGCGCAATTCGCAAATGTTTCTTCCCAAATGCTGCAGGGGAAATGTAAGATCACATGAGTAATCTACACAATAGCCTCCTCGCCTTCACGCGAACGTATCCAGCAACGCATTTGGGTCCGCAGGATGACAGAACAGGACCGGCCGGGAAGGGGAGAGAGGGGCTTGGAGGGAGATGCGGGCCACTTACCGAGTGGAACCGCCTGCGGCGAGAGGCAGCGGGCGGAGGTGGAGGTCCTAGCTGCCGTCGCCGGCTACTGGTCTCCGGCGAAGCCATGGCGGCGGCCGGCCTTGGTTGGTTGTGTGACCTTGTCGCCGCTGAGGAGGAGTGGGCAGAGACCGGTCAGCTTGGGTCTGGGACCTGAAGCCCTGTGAAAGGCCCAAATATGCTAGCCCACGTCATTCAACATTTGTTTTGCACGTACGGAAACAAACAAAACCATCTTTTTACGTACAGAAAACCAACAAACTCCGTTCGACCGCTACCAGACATCGGTTCGGAAGGGAACCGCTTTGGGATCTTGTTTTTTTTCTTCCTATATTGCCTTTCTTTGATCTGTGCTTGTTTTTTTTTCCCTACAGAAAACTGGAGACCGCGGAGGGGGTTACAAACTTACGATGAACCAAGGACAACATGTCGCTCCACACGATCGGCATCGACAACTTACAAGTAAACTTTGCATAATCATGTGATGCAACATTAGCCTCCCTACTTTCTCAAATTGTCAACAACACTAGTCATGGTGTGCATTTGGTTTTTTCGGTTTGATTCGGTTCGGTTTATACGGTATATGGTCCATATGGTTTTTATACTTTGGTTTATATGGTTTATACATAGATATGGTTCAGTTTCGGTAATAACCATTTACTTTTGGTTCGGTTTCAGTAATAACCAAATTAACCAAAGTTAACGCGAATTTCTGAGCCAACACATAACTTTTCATGTGGAAATAGATGATATATATCATAATGAGGAAAAATAATTAGAAAATGATAAAGAAGGGACGTTGGATAAGCAGCTAGGCTAATCACGTAAATTGAAGGACTAAATGGGCTAGACAGTACTATACTATAGCAGCCATTATGCTTTTGAACCCCAAAAAACCTTAATTTCGATAAATTCAATTTAACCAAATGGCTTTCGGTTTCTATTGATAAAAATCAAAATGAAAATGGTTTTCATATTTCAAAACTGAAACCAAAACCTAAAAAAAACAAAAGTTTGGTTTGGTTTGGTTTTCAGTTCTTTTTTGGACACTCTTGCTAGCATGTGAGGTAACATCCATCATCTTTAGTGTGACGTAAGTATTAGATATTAATTTATATTTTCTAGACATTTCTATCGAGGGTTTTACATTGATCCTAACAACGGTATTGGAGGGAATAAGTGGAATCTATAGTTGAGGGGTTGCCGCGTCAGGAGATCAAGTGTCTTGAAAACAGAACACAAAAGACATGATATACCGAACTTCATGCCCAAGTCATACTTAATGTGTTGCTCTTTTCTTTATATGTAGATGAAAGAACATGCGGTGCCCCCATATTTAGTTTTGGTAATTGATGACAATCTCTATGGACTAATGGTTGCCTTGAGTTATATTTGAAGGTTTTGTCCATAGGCTTTTCTTGGAGTACATGTGTTGGTTTCAATGAGAGTTTGTGTTGACCAAGGTGCTATTAAGGAATTATCCAAAGATTGGTCATGTGAGAGTTGAGCTTATTGCAAGCATGTCTTGAAAAAGAAGATTGTGTGATCATTCATGTTTACCTTCAAGACATCATCCAAAGGAAAGATTCAAGGTTGATCAAGACTAAGTCAAGAGTGAATCAAGTTGATCAACTCACAAAGCGTAGAAGATGTACCGAGAGGGCTCAAGTGATCCCATGGCATGGTAATTAAGCATTGTCCATTGTGCTTTGTGTACTAACCCATGGTCTACGTAAGAGTTCTATGTGGGGTTAGGTACGTGTTCATGGGCTTGCGTCAAGAGGAAGATATCACTCAACCCATGGAGAGGATGACATCAAGTGGTGATCGTCATCAAGATTGATGTGTGTAAGTTCAAGTGGAGCATCACGAAGAGATCAAGTGCTTGAAGCTTGCCATCCATTGTGGTCTCAATGGACTTGTGAATATGTGCCGAAGAGTGGCTCACCCATAGTGGAGTATGGGGGAGCAATCATCTAGTCTCGATCGACCCAACGCAATCAAGAAAGGTGGTCCATCTTGAGGAGGACAAGATCGTCATCATCTAGCTCAAGTGGATCATGTTCAAGGCAAAGGTTTGCCCTTGATAGGTTTTCTATTTTACCGGTCTCATGGTGGTAGTTGGGAGACCGGGTTATAGGATCGATAGCCATACTATCAAGGGGGGCTCTCAAGTGAGTAGCTTGATCGTATCGTTCGTCAAGAGATCAAACCATTGCATCCTTGCATCATGTTTCTTGGTTGTTGTTTGGTTCTCTTTGTGAGTCTTAGAGCTTATGGTCATCTTGATGACAAGCTTGAGTTCATCGAAAACGGAGTTTGCATGCATCTTCTATGATGTTTCCGGTGTTGGAGGTTTTACCGGTCTTATCCGAGAAAAGGTTCTCACCATTTTCTTTTGGGCCTTTTCTCATTTGCTTCTTATTGATATTTCTATCAAGATTGTGTTAGCCCTTGTTGCTAGCTTTCCAACAAACTTGGTTTCGTCGAATTCGGAGTCCGTTTGCAGAAGTTGTGTCAGTTTTGGTGTTCTGAAAAGGCTGCAGCGATACTACCGCGGACAGGAGCGGAAGTAATTTTTTACTACCGCTCTTGGGAGCGGTACTACCGCTTGGAGCAGTACTACCGCGGCTACTTCCGTGGCTACTTCCGCTCGGGACCAAAAACTCGTCACAAGTCCAGCGGTGGTAGGCACGGATGTAATTTTTTAGTACCGCTCGCAAGCAGTAGTACCGCTCGCAAGCAGTAGTACCGCTACCCTTAGCAGTAGTACCGCTACCCCTAGCGGTAGTACCGTGAGGTCAAGCGGTACTACCGCTTCGACGGTTCTTCTGGCCTTTTTGCCTCCTCGCTGTTGTGTTTCAAAGGGCTAGCGGTAGTACCGCTTCTTGGAGCGGTAGTACCGCTCGGTGCGGGCTGTGAGCATAACGGTTGGATTTTTCCCCACCTATAAAAGGGGGTCTTCTTCCCCGTTGAACCTTATCCTTTGAGCTCGTGTTCTTCCCCCATTGTTGACCTTCTTCGAGCTTGCTAACTCTCAATCCCTTCATGGATTCTTGCTAGTTTTTGAGGGAAAAGAGAGAGGAGATCTAGATCCACATTTCCACCAATCACTTTCTCCTCTATGTGAGGGGAACCCCTTGGATCTTGATCTTGGAGTTCTTGGTGTTCTCCTTCTTGTTCTTCCTTTCATTTTCCTCTCTAGCATTAGTTGCTTCGGTGGGATTTGAGAGAGAAGGACTTGGGCACTCCGTGTGCCTTGCCATTGCATTTGGTGCATCGATTTGAGTTCTCCATGTGATACGTGGAAGTTACAAGTTGAGAAGCTTATTACTCTTGGGTGCTTGGTACCCTTGAGCTTGTTCCTCTTGGGTGCTTGGGAGCCCTAGACGGTTGGTGATGTTCGGAGCTCAATCATTGTGGTGTAAAGCTTCGGGCAAGCGTCGGGGTCTCCAATTAGATTGTGGAGATCGCCCCGAGCAATTTGACGGGTTCTGGTGACCGCCCCCAAGGGTTGCCAAAGTGTACGGGTTCGGTGACCGCCCCCAAGGGTTGCCATTTGTACGGGTTCGGTGACCGCACTCAAGGGTCCCTTAGTGGAATCATGGCATCTTGCATTGTGCGAGGGCGTGAGGAGATTACGGTGGCCCTAGTGGCTTCTTGGGGAGCATTGTGGCTCCACACCGCTCCAAACGGAGATTAGCATCCGCAAAGGTGTGAACTTCGGGATACATCGTCGTCTCCGCGTGCCTCGGTTATCTCTTACCCGAGCCCTTTACTTATGCACTTTACTCTGTGATAGCCATATTGTTTCTTGTCATGTATCATGCTATCACCTAG